GTCGTGACGAGCCCAGCTGCGTCGGCTCGGCTGATGGCTCAGACACTGGAGCCTGCCTCCGATTCTGTGTCTCCCTCTCTCTCTGCCCCTCCCCTGTTCATGCTCTGTCTCTGTCTCAAAAATAAATAAACGTTAAAAAAAAAAAAAAAAGGAACTTGGGTTTCAAAAAAAAAAAAAAAAAAAAAAAAAAGAGTTGTATGCTCTACTGACTGAGCCATGTAGGTGCCCCTAGAAGTGACTTTTAGTGGAGGCCCCAAGGATAAGCCTCTGACCACAGCAGCCCACGCCAGGGAGGAGCTCGGACAGAAGCAGTATAGATGCGGCAGTGGCTCCTTGTCTTAAAGTGTGCGATTGGTAAGTTTGTTATATGTACACACCTGTGAAACCATCACCACAGTCAAGACAGTGAATGTATCTGTTACCCCCAGAAGTTTCCCTGTGCCCCTTGGTAATCCCTTCCCTCTGGGAGGTCCCTTCAGCCAACCACTGATCTGCTTTCTGTCACTATAGGCCAGTTTACATTTTCTAGAATCGATAGAAGTGGAACCATAAGGTACACTCTTGGTTGCTACAGTTTCCTTCACTTAGCATAACTGTTAAGTATTTTAAGATTCATTTATGTTGTATCAATACAGTTGACCCTTGCACAATGCAGGGGTTTAGGGGCACTGACCTCTGTGCAGTCAAAAATCTGCATATAACTTTTGACTCCCCAAGAACTTTACTAACAGCCTACAGTTGTTGACTGGGAGGCTTACTGACAACATAAAGCCAATTAACATCTGTTTTGTATGTTGTATGTATTCTTACAGTAAACTATGCTAGAGAAAAATAATACTAAGAAAATCCTAACTAGGGGCGCCTGGGTGCCTTAGTTGGTTAAGCACTGACTTCGGCTCAGGTCATGATCTCGTGGTTTGTGGGTTCGAGCCCCGCGTCGGGCTCTGTGCTGACAGCTCAGAGCCTGGAGCCTGCTTTGAATTCTGTGTCTCCCTCTCTCTCTGCCCCTCCCTTGCTTGTGCTCTCTCTCTCTCAAAAATAAACATAAAAAAAAAAAAAGAAAATCACAAAGAAGAGAAAAATACATTGATAATACCGTGCTGTATTTATCAGAAAAAAATCGTGTATGAGTGGTTCAATTCATGTTGTTCATGTGGTTCAAGGGTCAACTGTAGTTCATCTCTTTACATGGCTGAGTTGTATTTCGTTGCATGGATACACCAAAATTTGTTGATCTGTCTGCCTATTTTTTTTAGTCTTTATTTTTGAGAGAGAGAGAGAGAGAGAGAGAGAGAGAGAGAGAGAGAGAGAGAGTGCAAGCCGGGGAGCAACAGAGAGAGAGGGAGACACAGATTCCGAAGCAGGCTCCAGGCCCTGTGTCAGCACAGAGCCCGACACGGGGCTCGAACTCAAGAACCGTGAGACCATGCCCTCAGCCGAAATCGGATGCTCAACCGACTGAGCCACCCAGGCGCCCCATGCAGAAGCCTTTTCACGGACACATGGTTTCATTCCTCTTGGGTGAGCACCTACGGGTGGGAGGGCTGGACTGTACGACAGGTGTTATGCTTAACCTTCCAAGAAACCTCCAAGCTGGCTTCCAAAGTGGAGGTGCCATTTACATTCCCGCCGCAAGTGTGAGTTCCAGAAATATATCTATCGGTCTTTGCCCACGGCTGTGCCTGTGCGAACAGCTGTGCGGTCTGGCCTTTCCGTGTTGGCCACCACCATGGATGAGTGTGGCATCTCACACACTGATTTTCACTGCCATTTCCTAAAGACTAATGAGGCTCAGCATCTTTTCCCGTGCATATCTGCCACCAGGAGATCTGCTTTGGTGAAGGGTGTTTAAGTCTTTTAACCATTTATTAATCGGGGAAGAGTTGACTACATCTGCTCTTTACAAAGGTGTGGGCAGGTAACCAGGGTGGAGAAACTTCCACAGGTGGGGAGCTGTTATCACCCACCGCGCCTGGAAGCAGTGAGCAGAGAGTGTAGTTACTAGATCTTGACGGAAGGCTGTCCGCAGGGGGCTGCCCACGATGGGACCCGTGTGTTCAGAACTGTCTCCCACAACTGTGAAAGGGGATGTAGTAATTAGAGTACCTACTTCATGGGGTGGTGCGGACTCAACGAGCTAATGCGTATACAGCACTTAGAACAGTGCCGACCCGAAAGATGAGCTCAGGGAAACGCATTTTGGAAATGTGACCGCCAGAACCAAAGAATAATAAATTCATGTGGCGGTTTGTTACAGCTGCCATAGGAGACTAACACCCAAGAGGAATAAATACCTCTGCCTCTCTCTCCTTTCCTGCTTTCCCCTGGTGAACCCCGCTGGAAGCTGGGGGCTGCGGGAGCCCGCTGGTACAGTTCACCCAGGTCAGCCTCCAGGGCAGACAGCAGGGCGGGAAAGAAATGTGGACAGTGTGTCTGGAGGGGCAAGAGGAAGACACCCAGCACAATTATTCTCCCCATTTTACAGATGAGGAAACCGAGGCACGGAGAGGTTGAGTAACTCATCCAAGGTCACACAGCTGGTCATAAAGACAATACCAAGAAGCGATGTGAATCACTGAGTGCTTGCTATGTGCCAGGCATGGGGAAAAGCAGTTCCCCTTTCCTACCAGCAACTAGTACTAGTACTACTAGTTCTTAGTACTTAGTTCTACGTACTTAGAAGGATGGTGCATTCTTGTTATCAGTTGACAGAGGAGGAAATTAAGGCTCAGAGGGGTTTTGTCATCTGCCCAAAGTCACACAGCTCGGAAGGGGGTAGCTGGGACCTGAATGGAGTCGTGCTCAATGCCAAAGTCCACGTGTGCAACCACTGGGCCATCCTGCTTCCCACTGTCAAGTCCCCGCCCCCTATTTGATACATGGTGTGAGCTCAGGGGGCAAATGGTAACGGTGACGGTGGTCTCCGAGGGGCAGGTGGGGAGGCATCTCAGGACTTCTTGAGGTCTGTTGTTTCCCTTCTGTCTTTCTTCCCCATTTTGTCTTTAGGCCATTTTAGACCTCCTGGCACTGCCTCTGGCACCAGAGCTGTGGCTTCATCTAAGGAAACCACAACAGCTGAGGGTTTTGGGTCAACCGAATAAACCACATGGTGGGGGAGGGGAGTGCGATGTGGAGGGACAAAACCGGACTCAGACCGCCCTGGTGTGAATAATAAGAAATATATCTATCGGTCTTTGCCCCCGATTGCTGACAATGAGCTCCTAAATCCCCTGGAATTTCCTGGAATATCTTTGGGTCTAATAAGGTGACTCCTGGTGGGCTCCTGGATGGGAGCTGGTCACCAGAAAAACCAAGCCATGATTAGAAGCTTAGGACTTTCAGCCCCACCTCCCTTATTCCAGAGAGGGGAGAGGGGCTGGAAATGGAGCTTATGATCCACCCTGCCTGTGTGACAGTCTCCACAAAAATCCCAATAGTGCAGGATATTCTGAGAACTTTAGGGATGGTGAACACGTCTACAGGTCAGGAGGGTGGTGCACCCCAACGCATGGGGACAGAAGCTCCTGTGCTCAGGATCCTTCCAGACCTCGCCTTCACGCCTCTTCACCTGGCTGTTCATCAGCATCCTTTACCATATCCTTAATTATACAATAAGCAGGTAAACGAGTGTTACGCCTGAGTTCTGTGAGCTATCCTAGCAAATGACTGAACCCACGGAGTGGGTCGTGGAAACCCTGATTTCTAACCAGTCGGTCAGAAGCACAAGTGACGATCTGGACTAGAAATGGGTGTCGGAAGTGGGGTGGGGACATCTTGTGGGACTGAGCTCTTAACCCATAGGATGTGATGCCACCTTCAGGTAGACAGTGTCAGGACTGAGTTGAACTGTAGGACACCCAGCTGGTGTCGGAGAATTGCCTGATGTGTGGGAAACCCACACACGTGGGGTCAGAAGTACTGGGTGTGTGAGTGAAGAAGGGACACAGCAGTGTTTTTCCTAGACATCTGGCACAGGGCTTTGGGCGCCTTCAAGACGGATGGCCCGTTCCAACCTGCTCTCCTGCCAACCAATGCCTGGGACTGATTCTGAGCTTCCTTTTTTCTTTTCTTTAACATTTATTTATTCTTGAGAGAAAGACAGAGACAGAGTTTGTGAGTAGGGGAGGGGCAAAGAGAGAGGGAGAGAGAGAATCCCAAGCAGGCTCCACTCTGTCGGCACAGAGCCCGACACGGGGCTCAACCACACGAATCATGAGATCCTGACCTGAGCCGAAATCAAGAGTATGACGCGTCACTGACTGAGCCACCTGGGTGCCCCAAATTCTGAGGTTTCTGAAGTTGAAAAGATGGCTGCTTTCACAGAATGGAAAGCAGGAGTCTCCAGAGATTCTTTGGTGCGTCTGCCTCTGTCCAGAGGTGCGTCTGCCTCTGTACAGGTGTTCTCGCAGAGGCACAGGCATTCATTACACCCTAAAGATGCTGCCTTTTCCTAGCTCCGCTCAGTCCTCTGAATGACAATAGTTACCCCCCAAGACCTCTCCACCCCAACACCTGTCGGCACACCTTTCCCTGCAGGCAAAGCACCACGGCCACCACGCCTGGTCCTGTGTCCACGGCAGACATCACTAATCGATCATGGAGCTCATTTCTTCTGAGCCTCAGAACGCTTGCCGTTAAACAAACAACACTCCTGAAGTCACAAGAGTGGAAACCTATGAAAGCCACCCTTCCCTGGGAGAAGCAGGACGTGTCAACATACTTTTTTCCTTTCTCGGGTGAGATTTAGATGAAAACTGCATCAAGGGCAGTTTTGAACAATGAAACTTAGGCAGTGCCCTTGGAGAGCAAAGGACAGTGGTGACAACGAGAAGCCAGGCTCAGACTCAGGGAATTGTAAGAGGTGGGTGATGGGCTCTGTTTATTTTAAACGCTGGCATCCGCTCCGCCCAAGCCTATTCTTTCCTCCTCCAGAAGGTGCCCCGAATCCCCTGCATGATGGGCGTTAATGGGGCTACCTCGTGGCCGCAGCCAATGCCTACCTTGGACTTGACAGCCAGGATGATCTTGGGCAAGGCCACGACCAGGCACTTGAGGGCGATGGTGACGTACTTCAGCACAAAGTCTGCGATGCCCACAATCCACAGCAGGTCGAAGAAGTCCAGTGTCTCCAGGTTGGGCTTCAGGAATATGAGGCTGGTGGGGGTTGGAGGGAGAGAGTCAGGATGCTCACTTAGGATCCCGGGCCCTTAGAAGCTCTTTCTACTCACTCTGGGAGCTTTGTGAATATAACCTGTAGAAAGAGCACTGAACGGGGAGTCAGATATCTGTGTCCTGTCTCTGAATTTGCTACTAAGTTGCTGTGTGACCTCAGGTAGGTATCTTAACCTCTCTGAGCCTCCGTTCCCCTGAAGGCTATGCAATAAGATTGGCCAGGAGCCTCATTAGTTAGGGTTTCCTCCAGTTTTATGAGTCCACAACGGGCTTCATAAGAGGAAGCAAAGGGGAGGCAGGCAGGTAGGCTGGCCAGCACGACATAGGGAGGAGAGAAATTGATGTGCAGACACTGTGGTAAGCTACTCACTGTACCCCATTGTCCTCCACAGTGGGCACTGCTTATTCCCAATTTATAAATGAGGCACAGAAGGTTGGAGAGGTGAAGTAAGTTGCATGAAAAACATACGGGCGTTAATATCATACCCGAGTTTGAATCCGGTTTTCTCTATTTATTGGACCCTGGGCAAATAATGTTATCTCTGTAAGCCTCAGTGTTTTCACGTGCAACATGGGACTCATTCCCTCCTTCATAGTGTCATTGGTGGGATTCAGGAGAACAGACGTACGACAGACCCGGCTGTGCAGCAGTGATAATAACAGCAACCCACGAGGTAGGTACTATTTGATCTGCCCCATTTTGCACATGAGGAAACAGAGGCACAGAAAGATAAAGTAACATGTACAAGGTCCTACAGATACTAAGGGACAGAGGTAGATTCAGACCCAGGTATCCCAGCTATAGTTCGTGCTTTTCCATCTTTATTCCACAGTGGCGCTACTCAGAGTATGTAAACCCGTTCTACCCATTTGGGACCAGGTAAGTTAACTCTACACTCAGTTCCTGTACTTCCCTTGTTAAACACAGACATCAAGCCATTCTCAAACTGCCACCGGTCCATGGACCACACTTTGAGTAGCTGTGCTTTCTACCCCCAGAGGATGATGAAGTTATCTTTAACAACAACGTAAGAGCTAAAATATCTTGGCTGCTTACATCATGCTGGCCTCTTCTATACACTTTACATGTCTTAACTCATTCCATTTTCCTACCTCTAGGAGGTAGGCACTGTGATTATTCCAATCTGAGCTGGGGAAGGGGGAGCCCTAAGAGGTACAGTTGCCTGCCCACAGCTCTTGGCTAGAACGGGAGCCAGAACAGGAACCAGCAGCCAAACTGTGCTTGTCCACTCACTTTTCCTCCTGCTGGATTACAGGCTCTGAGCAAAGGCTACACCAAGTCCTCTCTGTCCACTACAAAGTAAGGACCGGTGCACACAGCCCAGCACGGGTGCTTTCTGAATGCTTCTGATGTACTCTGTTGGGCTGGCAGGAAGTGGTGCAAACTGGGATTGCTTATTATAGCCTCCTAGGAATGAACTGGTCTGTTTTTTTTTTTTAAGTTTACTTATTAGAGGAGGGGGGGAGGGAGGGGCAGGCAGAGAGAGAGAGAGAGAGAGAGAGAGAGAGAGAGAGAGAGAGAATCCCAAGCAGGCTCTATGCTGTCAGTGCAGAGCCTGAAACGGGGCTCAATCCCACGAACCATGAGATCATGATCTGAGCTGAAATCAAGAGTCAGATGTTTAACAGAATGAGCCACCCAGCTGCCCCAAACTGGTCTGGTTTTTACTTTTATTTAAAAAAAAACAATTTCTACTTATAATAAAGAGTCTCAAAGAGCTAGAGTAGGGCAAAATCAATAAAAACAATCAGGGGCGCCTGGGTGGCTCAGTCGTTAAGTGTCTGACTTCGGCTCAGGTCGTGATCTCGAGGTCCATGAATCTGAGCCCTGCGTTGGGCTCTGTGCTGACAGCTTGGAGCCTGCTTTGGATTCTGTGTCTTCCCCTCTCTCTCTGCCCCCCACCCCCGCTCACATGTCGTCTCTCTCCCAAAAATAAATAAACGTTAAAAAATAAATAAACAAATGAAAATAATCTATTTTGGCGACCTTACCCGATACCCTCTGTGTCCTTTTCACGTTCTAGCCTTGCCTCTAGAGGACGCCTCGCGTCCAGGTTTGAGTGGCCCTCTGTGTTACAATCCAGGGAGAGTCCAGCAGCCCCAGGTGCCCTTTGCCTCTGCTCCTGTCCCTCCTGGGATCTTGGGCTGGTTAGCTGACTTCTACACTCTGCTTCTCTGTTACGCTTCTTTGATGGCAATACATTAAGATCTGCCTTCCACTCGTCTCAGAGACACCAGCTGGTCTCAGATTCATCTGTCTGGGTTTTAGTTCACCATCTTAGGGGATTTTTCCTGTTTTGGCTTTGGGAGGAGGGGCGGGACCGAAGTGTTTTTGTAGATTGATCACTAAATCCACTTATTTCTAACTACCCTATGAACTTTCATGGACTGATGTATTTTATTATCAGTTTCACTCCTCCTTAGGCACCACCACCAACAGGTACATTTATTATAAAAGGTAATTTATTATAAAAGAATACTATCAAGCAGGATAGGATTATGATATATCAATGTTTCCGTTTACCCAGTATTTTTCATGCACTATAGCATTTGGCCTTCCTAACAATTAGCCTGTCAGGTGGATAAAGCAAGAAGAACCTGGTCCTCGTTCTACCAATGAGGAAACAGGGCGAAGCCTAAGGATGTTCCATTATTTGCCAAAGGTGGTCAAGTGGAAGGACGCTGGTCATCAGATTGCAAATCCTAGGAAGATTCAGTCTTGCTGGTAAGGACCGCCTACCAGGACTAAGACTCATTAGGAAAGACTTCATTACGCCTCAGTTTCCTCACCCGTGAAATGGGGCCATCAATACCCTGCTGGGTCACTGAGAGGGTAAAATAAGGTGCTGCCTATGGGTATCAAGCACATAGACCATTGACATCATTACGGAAGGGGTTCAGCTTTGTTGCTTTTCTCCTAAGCTGCTCTCTCCCTCTCTCTTTCTGTGCTGCCAGTTTGACTCAGCTCTGGTTTGATGGGAGCATGGAGGTCTGAGCCTGTGAATGTGATCATGCCCAGAGAATGGCATGAGCTGGAAATTCATCCAAGATTCTGGGAAACTCCACCTCCTCCACCCTCCACCCATCGGGACCTTGATATTCTGGGCCAGACAATAACGCATTGTGTGTGATGAGTGTTGATGCCTTAAAACGAACTCTCCAAATAGCCTTTATGGGGTGGCCCCAGAAAGCGGGGAAACTTCCCATTCCTCAAAGTCCATTTTTAAAACAGATGTACATGATTTGAAAGCTTGGCTGGAGTTTCAACCCAGTCCTACAGGTCTTTACTGGCCGACCCTCCCACACCTTCCCACTGTGTGGTTACTAGAAAACGTAAAATCACACACATAGCTTGCGGTGTACTTCTACTAGAGAGCTCTGCTCTGGCACGCGTGTATACAAGAGGGTGGAATTTAAAGGTTATGTGACACAGAGCCACTGCACTGTTCCCAAGTGAAGGAGTTGTGTGTCCCAAGCAAAGTGCCCCCCACTTTCCCACTAGGGGTCAGAACCCCTCCCCTGCTCACCTGTTGTACAGCTGTTGGGAACTGAATGTATAGAGCACGTATAGGGTGTTTCCTGCCAGAAAGGCCAAGATCCACAAGATGACCAGCACCGATCTCTTCTCCTGGAGACAAAACAAGAGATTTGTAGGGATGCCGCAATGCCAAAGGTGCATATGGCAAAACATTCCAGAATGTTCTCTGACAAGTGCCAATTTCCCCCTTTCTCAAAGGTTTGGAAGAAGCAGGGCTGATGGTGAAGGGAAGGGTGCTGGAATCTTCCCATCCCACTGGAACCCAAGGGGTGGTCACAGAGAAGGTGACAGAAATGTGGAAACATGGGGTGCCTGGGTGGCTCAGTCGGTTAAGCATCTGACTCTTGATTTTGACTTAAGTCATGATCTCATGGTCATGAGACTGAGCCCTGCATCGGGCTCTGTGCTGGGCATAGAGCCTGCTTAAGATTCTCTCTCTCTCTCTATATCTCCCCCAGCACCCCCCCACCCAATGTAGAAACCTGCTATGTGAAAAAGGCAGGAAGGCACTACAGTTAGCAGAAGATTCTGGAGATGGACGGCCTGTAATCGGAGGACTGGGCAAGTTACCGAAACTCTCTGCATTTCCCTCTCCTCATCTGGAAAATGGGTATATACTGTGTCTCGACAACAGAGTTGTGAGAATTGACGCGCACGGAACACTCAGAACAGTGCTGTACGCAGTAAATGTTAGTTCACATTTACTGTAAAGAACTGGGGCACAGAGAAGGTAAAGAGCTGTTGCTCAAGGGCACTTGTTTGAGGTCTCTGTGCCCTCATTTGAGGATGGGAGTTTTGCTAAGGATTAAGTAAAGTTTTAAAGGTAAACATTCAGTCTACCATGGATTCATGTTTCAGGCTCAGTGAATGGTAGGACTATTACTCAGACTTTACAACCCAGCAATAGATTCCGATCTACAGGTTGGCAGGTTCTGCTCCCACTTTTTCTAGGACTTCTGGGCTACTATCCTGGCCTGGCCATTCAATACAGGGCCACAGTTATAGGGTTAGATTCAAGCTTGTACACGAGGCCATCAAAGACTCTGCCCAAGTCATCCCCGCTTCTCTCTCCAACCTCATTTCTTTTTTTAGAAAAAAAAAAAAATTTTTTTTTAATGCTTATTCATTTTTTTTTTTAATTTTTTTTTTTTCAACGTTTATTTATTTTTGGGACAGAGAGAGACAGAGCATGAACAGGGGAGGGGCAGAGAGAGAGAGGGAGACACAGAATCGGAAACAGGCTCCAGGCTCCGAGCCATCAGCCCAGAGCCCGACGCGGGGCTCGAACTCACGGACCGTGAGATCGTGACCTGGCTGAAGTCGGACGCTTAACCGACTGCGCCACCCAGGCGCCCCTATGCTTATTCATTTTTGAGAGAGAGACAGAGCATTAGTGGAGGAGGGGCAGACAGAGAGGGAGGCACAGAATCCAAAGCAGGCTTCAGGCTCCAAGCTGTCAGCCCAGAGTCTGATGCGGGCCTCGAACTCATGAACTATGACATCATATGAACTATGAAGTCGGACGTTTAACTGACTGAGCCATCCGGGTGCCCCCCCTTTTTTTTTTTTTTTAAATGTTTTTTTATTTTGGGGGAGAGACAGAGAGAGGGAGTGGGGGAGGGTAGAGAGAGAGGGAGACACAGAATCCGAAGCAGGCTCCAGGCTCTAGCTGTCGGCATAGAGTCCAACACGGGGCTCGAACTCAGGATACATGAGATCATGACCTGAGCCGAAGTCAGATGCTCAACCAACTGAGCCACACAGGTGCCCCTCTCCAGCCGCATTTCTGATGAGTCCCCAGGAAGACGAGAAGGAAAATCTACTTGGTTTCTTATTTCCCAGCAGCTTCTCCAGCTGAGAGCGATCCCAAGGAATTTGTGGAGAAGGTACAGAGTAGGGTGCATGCATTCTGGGGAGACATGCACACAGACCCCTGTGCTGCTGACTCTCAAAAGCTCATCTTTTCCTGGATCAGGGTGGCTGCGTTGCTGGAATCAGATGAGGTCATAACTCTCTCAGTGTAACCTTCCCTGCGGTTTTGGTAAATGCTCCACTGTCTCCAGACACAGATCAGTGCTCCGTGCACGGTTACAAAGCACATTTCCATAGAGTAGACAAAATAAATGCATCTCCATCCACCCATTATTCCAGGCGTGGTCAAGGTTAATGACCCTAGAAACCACCTGCAACCAACCCACCGCTCTTATCAATGTGAATAATCTACTCAGCAGCCCTTCTTACTCCAATAAATAATGGATTCCAGCCTAATCCCCCTGTAAATCCAAACCAAAGGAGGAATACAAAGAGAGAATTAGCAATGCCCTGGGAAGCCAAACTCTGAAGGACAAAGGGGAGAGTTCTCTAGCAGTAAGTTGATATTTCTAAACTTAGTGAGGGTCATGCAGAATCTGTTTTGCAGAAAATATGTACAGATGGGCAAAACATCACCTGTGTCTTCATAGGGCTCAAGGATCCCTGCCTGGAATGCCTATCGATGGACACAGGCACTCTTTTGCCCCCTAAAATGTAAGCCAAGGCACCACTTGGATGTTACTGCATTAACAGAGAGAGCCAGTCCTAGAAGTGCCCCACTGTGGCGTTGATCAACCTGCTGTTCTAACAGCAGCAGAAAGGGGTGTGCGTGAGGAAGAGGAGACCGAGGGTCATGAGGAAGCTATGGCCCCGTGCCCAACCCTGGGCCTCAACGTGCTCATGTGTCAAATGGAGACCGAGCTGCCCTCATAGAGGCCCAGATGCTTCTGAGAAAGACCCAGAGAAGGGTCAGGGAGGATGGTGGCTGTTCTGGGATCACCTGCACCGCAGAAGGGGCATGCTGGTTACAAGCAGCTCAGTTAAACGTTGCCTCTACGGAAGGCCCTGTGCTAAATGCCTAGGCACTATCTCATTTGAATGGTTCATCTTCTAGGGGGGCACCTGGGACTGAGATCACCAAGGTAACCTATCCAAGGGCCTGTGTGCAGGCGGCTGGAGAAGCTGGGATATCAGCCTGGGGTGAGCACAGCCTGTGGGCCCAAGGCCCGGGTTCACAACCTGACGCCACCACTTTCACGGACCGTGTGACCTCGTATGCAAGGCACGTAGTGTCCCTGAGCCACCATTTCCTCACTGGGAAAATGAGGTAAGAACGATTCTGACTCCCTCCTGGGCTGCCGGGACAAATCTGCAAGATGAGCTGTGCCGTCTGCCCAGCTCTGCGCTGGGCGAGGTTAGCGCCAAGCGGATATTAGATGGCAATTCTGGATGATGCTGGTGTGAAGCTGGAACGCCGGCGGGATGGCCTTAACCATGAGAGAAGCCAGGTAGATGAGGGTGCCGGGGGCAGGCGTGGGGGGGAGACGCTGCTGTCGGAAAGGTTGGGAGAAAGATGGCAGGCGATGTGTCCCGGGGGGACAGGCGGAAGAACAGCCTCTCATAGGCCTCCCATAGGTGTCCCCGTCCTCATCCCTGTAACCTGTGGATATGTCTGCTTACATGGCAAAGGGAATTCAGGTTGCTAACCAGCTAGCCCCGAGACGGGGAGAGACTCCAGGACTGTCCAGCTGGGGCTGATGTAATCACAAGAGTCCCTAAAAGTGGAAGAGGAGACAGAAGGAGAAGGGACTAGGGGCAGGTGGGCACAGAGGTGGAACATTGGTTGCTGGCTCAAAGGAGGAAGAAAGGGGCCATGAGCCACTCCTAGCACCTGGGAAAGGCAAGGCAAGGGGATCACCTCTGAACCCTCTGGAAAGAACAGTTGTGTTGACACATGACCCTCACCTAGAGAGACCCACTTCAGACTTGCGATCCACAGAACTATAAGGGGGTAAATCTGTATTGTTTTAAGCCGCTGGGTTTGTAGTCACGCATTACAGCAATCTTGGAGACTAACTCGCCAGGTGACTCACCTTCAGAGAGACCTGTTCTCGCAGCGTGGAGTTGGCATAGGCAAAGGTGCTGGCCATCCCGATGCACACGGCAATGCCTGCGGGACAGAGGAGGGTCTGACTCCACCCACTTAGATGCCATCGGGCCTGGCCCTAGCTTACTGGGGACCGTGAGCAACATTAAAAGGTCACTACCCTCTATTGCTTCACACCCACCAATCAGCAAATTTTCTGCTGGACACATGCCAAGCTCCCCAGCCCAGAGGAAGAAACAGGCTCAGAGAAGGTGACTGACTTGTCCCAGGTGGACAGAGCTGGTCAACCAGGACTGGAACCCAGGCCTCACTCAGAATCCCATAATCCTAAGCACCGTAAGCACCGTGCACCATGGAGACCTCTGCTGCCTTGCCCTGGCACTCGGGATGAGCCCCTCCTGTCCCCGACCCGGCAGGTGAAGCCCCCGGTTGACACACCCGGGACCCACTGGACTCACCGAGCTTGTGCTGGAAGCACACTTTGGCCAGGAGGATCAGGATGAAGGGCAGGCCTTTCTGGAGCCAGCAGACCACGGCCTTCAGCTCGGACAGGGCAGGGGCAGGCGTCCCTGGCTGCTCGTCGCCCCCCTCGTCAGAGTGAGCGCGGTGGTCCCCACCCACGTGCTGCAGCAGCGAGCTCCCGCGGTGGCCGCCGTGATGGAAGTGATGGAGGGGCTGGCGGTGGTGGTAGGTGCCCCCCTCGCCCCGGCCCCCGCCCTCCTCCCTGGACGCTGGCATCTGGATGAACACGTCCCCGCCTCCGGCCGATGCCCCCAGCACCAGGCTGGATGGGAATGGGGCGGTGGGGAGGCTGCTGGCAGGGAGGCCGGGGAGGCCGGAGAAGAGTGCAGGTGGGGAGGCCGACTCTGCCTTCAGACTCTCAAAGACGCCGCCTTCATCCACGCTCGCCTCGGAGCTGAGCGCTTGGCTGCGATTTCTGGGCCAGGAGAGAAGAGAGAGCCCCACCAAGTCAGACAGAGAGATAAGCACCCCAGTGGAGGATGGGCGGGGGGTACAAATAACAGTACCAATATTGTTACAGGCTGAATCGTGTCCTGTGTTGCAGCCCTAACCTCCGGGACCTCAGAAAGTGGCTGTACTTGAAGACATGGTCTTTGTAGGGGTGATTAAGTTAAAATGACGTCATTAGGGTGGGTCCTGATCCAATAGGACTAGTGTCTATATCATTATTTTTTTTAATGTTTATTTATTTTTGAAGGAGAGAGAGAGAGACAGAGCATGAGCAGGAAGGGGCAGAGAGAGAGAGAGACACAGAATTCGAAGCAGGCTCCAGGCTCCAAACTGTCAGCACAGAGCCCAACATGGGGCTTGAACTCATGAGCTGTGAGATCATGACCTGACCAAAGTCGGACACCCAACCGACTGAGCTAACCAGGCGCCCCATGACTAGTGTCTTTACATGAGGAGATTAGGACACAGACACACAGGGAAGACCCCGTGAGGACAAAGTGGGGAGGAGGCCATCCACAAGCCAAAGACAGAGTTTCAGAAGAAACTGACCCTGTCCACACCTTGATCTTGGACTTCTACCTTCCAGAACTGTGAGACAATAAATTGCTAATTTTTTTTAAGTTTATTTATTTTCAGAGAGAGAGAGAGAGAGA